AAAAAAAAAAAAAAGACTCAAAAATGGACAGTTTGATTTCTAAAATACTTCACGGTTCAAGAAATACCTGGCAAAAGATCTTAACTGATTACAAAATACATTAAGGGTTTTACATTGAATAGACTGGGAAGACAGATTTTGTAAACATGCATGAAATATCAATGTAACACTCTTAAATTGCGATTTACTCCAACCTGCTGATTTCCTTCAGGGTCAACTGTTATTATGGTGGAATTCCTCAGGCACCTTTTGGAGGCTTCAAAATGTCTGGCTCTGGAAGAGAATGGTAATATTTGTGAAGATGACTAATTGTTATATAAAATTATGAGACTAGTGGTAGAAAGAACAAAAATGAGACCTATCCATTACTAATTATTTTATTTACAGTCCTGGTACAATGAAGCCTGAAAAAAATTCATTCTGAAACGAGATGCAAACCATACCACAAATGTTCCACAATAGTTTCATGTGAGATATTAAAATTGACTGCGTTAACCTAAGAACTCCTGTGAATATGGAGTGGATCATGATAAATTAAATGCAAATTAGAAAAAGCTCTAGTCCTCTTCACACACAGATTTCAGATTCAGATTTTATTAATTGACACTATTTACGGACATATTTCACTATCGCACACTATTACAAAAAATTCATTAATTAATAATAAGGAAAATATAATAATAATAAAACCAAAACAAAATGTGCTCAGTGACCAAAGAAGCATATGCAATTCACATATATGTATTAATAATGGATAGTTAGTGCCACTGTACATTCCAACCAAGTTTTTAATAGCACTGTGACCTTCAATTTACATTTGTACTAATAAAGGATTTAAATTGCAAATTGATACACAAACACTTATTTTTTTTTTTTTATTATCCAGGGGTGAATATGGTCTATTGCCTTACCTGGAGGTGAAAACAGTAAGTGATTATCAGTTAACTGATTGAGAAAACTATTCATTGTTAGTTGTGTCCAGTTTATTGGCAACGTTTTATGGATTTTAACACACAACAGGGAACTTGAGAAATCGCCTTTCTTGGATATACTATGTACCTGGTTGTGCACAGACTCAATAAGGTATATTACATGTACCGTACCCAAATGATATGGCTACAAACTCTTCTAGGTTTCAAAAATAAAACTTTAGGTCATAATGTTATTCAATATTAAGCTTTTGTTTTCAGGGCTTAAAAGGTGTCAAAACTTTCCAGCGAAACCAAACTCCTTATACACATAACTAGAACATGACAGATGACCTTACTAAAAGAAATAATATCTCTGGAAATGTTGGCTGAATTTGGGTATGGTAAATATCTGATCATACCTTTTATGGTATGCTCTGGCAGCATAACAAGATCATTTGGTCTCACCATGGGCATTTTGGCTTCACTTCATCTTACCAAATATGAACCGTGGCTACACCAAACTCAACTGATATGCTGCTGTAATGTACCAAAAAGGTACATGACCAAAAGGGTACATGATTAGGTTTAAATAAAGTGAGAGTGGTAGTCTGAAACTGTTATGACTGGCTTCTAGTTTTAGGTGATGTGACCGTGTAACGGTTATTGCAGTTTGCTAATCAGTAGAAATGTTATGTCACCTAAACAACATACTCCATCTCACACCCCAAAGTCAATTGAAAATAATCTATTGTTTTGTACAAAGTAATATTCCTAACAAACAAAAAATTGTACTGCTGACGTGTTATTGAAAAGTTCTAACTTCCCTTAAGATAATAACAGAAAATCCCGAGGTTAAAAATGCGGTTTTGGTAGCTCTTAGGGTGTTTAGCCTCAAAAGGTCTACAGCAGGAGCTTTTCTGGTACCTTTAAGGGTATTGAGCTGAAAAAATATGACAGGAGCTAATGTGTTCTGTTAGAATTGGTACCTCTTAATGGAGAAAAAAATTCAAGCCACGCCCACACAAAAGGATCTTGGCACCTCTTAGGGGTCCTTTCCAAAATTTCCGACGAGCACCCCTGTCTCTTTTAAATGGGAGTCCCCTATGGGGGGTTGAGGGAACCAACCCAACCTGGTACCTCCCAATACAGTGGATCACGCCACTGCCTTATTATAGAGATGGACTGATTATGCTACTATGTGTGTTTTCTTGTAGGTTACAACAAAAGTACCAACAAAGAATTCTTAGAGTCAAGGCATCAACTCCAGTCAATGACTACGTGTACAGTACCTCTTTCACTTAGTCTGTCGAGCAAGACTGTAAATAAACCATGAGGAAAAAATGGCCACGTGAAAATCTGGGGGCGAGAAGTGCAACCCCAGGATTTCATCCAGCCATTTTTTCTCTTGTAGTTTTCTTTTGCATCACGCACGATGGACTGCGTGAAAAAGGGACTACTTGCACATGTAGTCTACTCCAGTCACAGTGCCACAGCATTGTTGTAGACAGGGAAAAAATTGCATGTTAAAAAAAAAAGAACTTTGATTAGACAACCAAAATTANGGGGAGTAGAAATACTCCTAGTCGCTTCATGCTACGGAAACCGGGATAAGCTCTGGCCTGGTGGGCCACTTGGCTCGTATGCAGACTTTACCTTAAGGGTATTGAGCTGAAAAAATATGACAGGAGCTAATGTGTTTTGTTAGAATTGGTACCTCTTAGGGGAGAAAAAAATTCAAGCCACGCCCACACAAAAGGATCTTGGCACCTCTTAGGGGTCCTTTTCAAAATTTCTGACGAGCACCCCCGTCTCTTTTAAATGGGAGTCCCCTATAGGGGGTTGAAGGAACCAACCCCACCTGGTACCTCCCAATACAGTGGATCACGCCACTGCCTTATTATAGAGATGGACTGATTATGCTACCATGTGTGTTTTCTTGTAGGTTACAACAAAAGTACCAACAAAGAATTCTTAGAGTCAAGGCATCAACTCCAGTCAATGACTACGAGTACAGTCCCTCTTTCACTTAGTCTGTCGAGCAAGACTGTAAATAAACCATGAGGAAAAAATGGCCACATGAAAATCTGGGGGCAAGAAGTGCAACTCCAGGATTTCATTCAGCCATTTTTTTCTCTTGTGGTTTTCTTTTGCATCACGTGCAATGGACTGTGTGAAAGAGAGACTACTTGTACATGTAGTCTACTCCAGTCACAGTTCCACAGCATTGTTGTAGACAGGGAAAAAATTGCATAGTAAAAAAAAAAGAACTTTGATTAGACAACCAAAATTATTGGTCTTTAAAAAGTAAAGCGACATCTGATATTCAAATGCAACAACCAAGAGTTAATTAATAATTTTAGTACACTGTATTGATGAAATATGTGAAATAAAATTACCACTAAAGACAATGGTTTCAGGTCTTGAATACATTGCAGTTTTTTAAAGGATAATTTCATATCATTGGGCAAACCACACTGTCTGATTGCTATAAAATTTGCTCAGACAGCCTATAGGTACAATGTACCTGACTAACCAAAACTCTCACCAGTGACCCCAGGGACAGGACTGTGCATGACCTACATGATATAGTCAATTTAAGGTACTGTGTAGTTCTAGAAAATATCCATACCTCTCCNAAAAAACAAAAAAAACAATGTACCTGACTAACCAAAACTCTCACCAGTGACCCCAGGGACAGGACTGTGCGTGACCTACATGATATAGTCAATTTAAGGTAATGTGTAGTTCTTGAAAATATCCATACCTCTCCCACAGAAGGGATTTTTTTCTAAGACCACCCCGCCTCTGGAAATTCCAATTAAGCTTCATACTTTTCTTTAAATGTTTGGAGCCTTTATTCAAGTGTGTATACCAAGAAAATACAAGTGAGAAGTGGGACATTCCATAGCATACCGTGCAAAAGCGTTGCATAACAATTTTATACCATGCCATACAAAATATAAAGTATGAGCGGTCCTTCTTTCGCTTAGTACGTTGTGCATGATGAAAACCGCGAAGAAAACCTTAAGGAAAATGTGGCTGTAGGAAATCCTAGAAAGGGAGACTGGCCATTTTTCCTCCAGGCTCAGTTGCAGTCCTGCTTGATGGACTGAGTGAAAGAAGGACTACTCTGGTCTATAGAAAATACAGTGGCCAAGACAATCAATGTAGCGCATAATGGAAAGGTTGGGGTGTAATACCATCCAGGACGAAAGTATACAACGGCTTTCCTGATTACCTGCACGTTCTATGGCAAGGTGTAAATGGGTTTATATTTTGTATATGTTGTAGGTCAATTTGTTCTTTAGAATGATTTCAACCTAGATAAATTTGTTTCAACCTAGGTTAAATTGTTCAAACCATTTTTTTTTTTTTTTTTTTTTT